ATGGACCAGCAAAAGGACCAGCATAAACCAGCAAAGGACCAGCATAAACCAGCAAAGGACCAGCTTAAACCAGCAAAAAGACCAGCATAAATTTATTGATTTATAATGTTTATATCATCATTATAATGCGATTTGACTGCATGCGTATGCAATGTTGTTAAACGTGTAAATGATGTAAAAATTTGTTGTTAAATGTTTTAATGCTCAAAAATCAAGAACAGTGCACAAAAATAATACAACCATCAACAAAAAAATGATAAACAATAATAACAAAAAATAAAGAAAATACAAGGGGGGGGGGGGGGGATTTTAAAAAATAGGGAGGGGGGGGGGGGGGGTGTTTAATAAATTTACAGATTAAGTTTTTAAAGCTTTTTTGTTCTTGGACAACCGGCTCAATGAAAGGTGTTGCTCAAATTCTTTTATAAAAACAAAATAGAGAGTTCTGGAGTTTGAATATTTGCATCAGTGGATGTGAAATCTAGCAAGACACAAAATCTGGTTCACTACATAAAACTCTTTCCTCTTAGATTGTTCATACTCGACAAAACCCAATACTACGTCCTTCCGAAACAGAATACATTCATTATAAATGTCACTCCTAATGAAACTTAAATCATCTTTACCAGAATTGATTCATGTAATGCTTTGCAGGATAGAACTTATGAATTATTTAGTAGGAAATCTCCTTAACTTGGCTGTGTGTTTTCCTCCCAGGTCTCTTTCTGCCGGCATGCAGTGGATGTGCCATTGGATATAAATTTGTTAAAAGGAAATGTGTTGGTAATTATGACTTACAGTAATTATGAATTATGTCGTTTGAATGGTAAACGTTTGTCTGTATGTCACTCAAATGAGGGACTCTATAGTCATTACGTTACAGTATTAAAATCCATCTTTCCTGACTGTACTCCTGTGTCTTCTCTCTCTTTCAGATGAGGATGAGTGTGCTGTTTTCCCGATTGCGTGTGGCGCTTTCCTCTTAGATTGTTCATACTCGATAAAACCCAATACTACGTCCTTCCGAAACAGAATACATTCATTATAAATGTCACTCCTAGTGAAACTTAAATCATCTTTACCAGAATTGATTCATGTAATGCTTTGCAGGATAGAACTTATGAATTATTTAGTAGGAAATCTCCTTAACTTGGCTGTGTGTTTTCCTGTCGCCTCCCAGGTCTCTTTCTGCCGGCATGCAGTGGATGTGCCATTGGATATAAATTTGTTAAAAGGAAATGTGTTGGTAATTATGACTTACAGTAATTATGAATTATGTCGTTTGAATGGTAAACGTTTGTCTGTATGTCACTCAAATGAGGGACTCTATAGTCATTACGTTACAGTATTAAAATCCATCTTTCCTGACTGTACTCCTGTGTCTTCTCTCTCTTTCAGATGAGGATGAGTGTGCTGTTTTCCCGATTGCGTGTGGCGATCACGCTCAGTGTGTAAATACAGAGGGAAGCTACTACTGCACCTGTAACGAAGGATTCAAAGAGAGCTTAACTGGAACATGTAAAGGTACGAGAGAGATTGTAGGATTGAGGAGTTCACCTCACGTACATGTACATTTATAGTTAATCTTTTAGCACAATCTTTAATCCGAAGTGACTTATATGAAAAGACACTATATTTGAACGTCATGTTGACTTTAGCTTTATAACTTATAACAATTGTGTCATTTGTACTAAAATTATGTTTGGCACCAATTTCTGTCAGATATAAACGAGTGTTTCGAGATTGAAACTCCCTGCTCGGCTCATATGACGTGTGAAAACTCAATTGGTTCTTACAAGTGTATTTGCCCACATGGGTACCAGCAGATGGGCAAAGCAGATTGTGAAGGTGAGCGCTATAATACTGTCAAAAATTCATAATATTGGCTGCTGCCATTAACTAATTGATTCCGTTAAGACATACTCCTGTTTGGCCAGGTTGTCCATTCCAATTTTTTTTTTCTCACAGGTTTAGGGTATTTTCATAGAAATAATAAGGACTGTCGGTAATGACAACCAGGTTTTGTTTCACTTTTGTTTTTGCAGGTGCATACACGTATGTGCTGAATAAACATGACTCATCAAGAATCATCTGTTTGAAATGTATTATTTGGGATGTTGTGTGATTGTATAAATACTGCAGGGTTTAGAAACTCGGAGTGCATGGGACAGAAGTCTCACTAATATTTGTACATAAACACAACAACACCGCTTGCATCAGCATGAAGCACGTGTATGTCTTTTTGTCCACTGCAGATGTGGATGAGTGTGTGTCCTCAGTGTGTGGAGTTCACAGCAGCTGCTTTAACACACCTGGAAGTTTCCTCTGCGACTGTTCTCCAGGGTTTCACAGACATGAGAACGGCACCAGTGGCCCCTGTGAAGGTGAGGGCCAGAGTCCTGCTGCTGCTAATAATACTGATCTCAGCATCAATCACATCAAATGTGAAAATGACTATCTCATCTTCTTTCTCTCTCAGACATCAATGAGTGTTCAGATCCAGATGTTTGCGGCACAAACGCAGCCTGCTACAATCACTTAGGTGGCTACAGCTGCAAATGCCACGAGGGTTACAGTAACTATGGCAACAACCAGTCAAAATGCATAGGTGAGCATTATTCGCTTCATTTTAAATGCACGGATGCATTTTTAGGTTGTTCTATTCATTATGCGGCAGCTGCTGAGAATCTTCAATCAGTGTTTTTGCTGTTTGATAATTGTTTTATCTTTACTGTGGTTGTGCACAGAAATGGACTGCGATCAGTTTGAACCCGAGTCTGATGGAGACCACACACCAAAGAAGGTAAAACGTGTACTTCTCCTTAAGATTATCATTGTTAGATATACGGTCAGACTCGTATACTTTGATTTGCATGTGTCGTCTTCTAGTTGAAGCATTTGATGTCACTATTGAAGAACAGCTGTGAGTCTCTGAATGATCCACGTGGAGATCGTTTCACTGGAGAGAAATTACTGGAGGTGAAACACACGCTGCACGATACAGTATATACTCGGATTGTAGTTTGTGATCATGCACTCGCACAGTGGCTGAATGAACATCTCTGATTTATTCCACAGGACTTGTGCAGTTCCTCTGACGAGCTGCTGTCGGATGGAAACATCGCTGACGGGAAGACTCTGAATCAGTTTCTGGACGCGGTGGAGAGCAGCATGCGTCTGATCGGACCTCAGCTGAGAGAGCCTGTGACCAGGATGGAGACACACAACACCTGTGAGAAACCGTGTTTAGAGACACTGTGCTACTGAATGGAAATATTACAAATAAGGCATTTTTATTATAAACATAGATAAAGACTGAAAGCAGTTCATGATCATGTGAATCACAGTCGCTGAGGTTGCGGTCATGAAGAGTCAGACTCCGCCCAGTGGGCGTGTCTCTCTGAGCACAGGCTCCGCCCTCTTCAGCACCAGCTGGGAAACAGTTATAGGGAAATCATATCCAGGTACAAATAAACACGTGCACATATATGTACTAATGAAGCCATCCGCACTTTCATGACGAGATGTAAATGTTCTCTTGTTCACAGGTTTTGCGTTTGCGGCTCTGGTCAGTTATAAAGATCTGAACTCATCCAGTGATCTGCTCCACAAGATGAGCAGCGAGAGATCAGACGATAAAGAGAGAAGCGTCACTTATCAACTCAACTCTAAAGTGGTGACGGCCGTCGTCAGTAATGCAGAAACCAAGCAGCTGTCAGAGCCGGTGACGCTCGTCTTTACACACGAGGAGGTGAAGATCCTGACAGACCAGCTTATGACCAGCACAAGAGCTCTCTGGAGACTGTTTCTGTTAATGGTTTAACAGTTCAAATGAAAAAGTACCATGAAAATGTGTATTCCCTGTTTGAAAATGCAGTTTAAGCTGGATTATAGCTGGTTGATGAGCTACCATGTTCCAAAAACCAGCTTGAACACCTTAAGCTGGTATGAGCAGCTGATTGCTTGCTTGTCCAAAATCAGTTTGAGCCAACTAAATCCAGATTAGACCAGTAGAAAACCATCTACCATGTTCCAGACTTAAGGCCCATTCACACCAAGAATGATAACTATAAAGATAACTATATTACCGTACACACCAGCAGACGATATCGTCTGTTTATTCTAAGTGCATGCACGTCTGCCACTTTAAATTCTCCCGCTCGTGACAGCAGGATGGATTCTGATTCAGCTGGAAAAAAACTTTCTGAAAAGATTCCAACGTTATCATTTCTCTTTGATTTAATCATTATAGCTGTGGTGTGGGCTCTGCAATTCTTTAATATTAAGAACGATTTTTAGAACTATATCTGTATCGTTATCGTTATAGTTATCCTCCATGGTGTGAACAGGCCTTTACACTGGATTTTAAAGAGATTGTTTCCTGCCGTACTAAAATGCATTTACAGATTAGAATTTTAAATATGAATCTATGATTCTACAGAAATGTATAAAATATGACTAGGAATTATAAAATGTCTACAAATTAGTGCTATCAAGCGATTAATCGCATCCAAAATAAGTTTTTGTTTACATAAGATGTGTGTGTACTGTGTATATTTATTATGTATATATAAATACACTCATACAGAATATATTTTGAAAATATTTACATGTATTTGCATGTATGTACTTATATTCATGTAATTTATATTTAATATATAGACATAACATATTTCTCTTAAATGTGTGTATGTGTGTGTATTTATATATATATATATACACAGTACAAAAACTTTTATTTTGGATGCGATTAATCGCGATTCGTAGTTTGACAGCACTACTAAAAATATATGCTTTGTGTATTTTCAAAGCATCTTCAGAAGCACTGACCTGCGCTGGTTTATTTGCTGCTCAGAGCAGCATTAACTCTGTGTAAGGCAGCTTAGTTCTTTCCTTTTGTGTTAGTTTCCGACCTTTTTCTGAACTTTTCAGGCAGGTGTTCACATGTTCCTCGTTTCCTGAACTCTTTCCGAGACTCTTGTTCTGTCTTCTTCAGGAGAGGGCGGAGTCTGGGGGCGTGGCTTACTCCTGTGTGTACTGGGATGAGGCTGAGGGGGCGTGGTCTGGGCGGGGCTGTGAGAGGGCGGAGTCTAACAGCACACACACAGTGTGTTCCTGCTCTCATCTCAGTAGCTTCGCTGTGTTAATGGCTCTCTATCCTGTCCAGGTACATCTCTGAGCCAGATTTCGCATATTTAAGATTTCAGATTAAATGATGATATTCATCCCTCCATCTGTCTGTTTTTTTTCCTCTCCTCCAGGACTCGTTTGATTTGGTGTTGATCACGCGTGTGGGTTTAGTTCTGTCTCTGGTCTGTTTGTTTCTCTGTATCCTGACATTCCTGTTCTGCCGCTCCATCCAAGGAACCCGGACCAGCATTCATCTTCATCTGAGCATCTGTCTCTTCATCGCAGACCTCGTCTTCCTCAGTGGGATCTCCAGCACTCACAATCAGGTGTGTTTGAGTGCAGTAACTGCAGCTAACAGGGAACATTCTCAGAACTTTGGCTAACATTCCGGAACGGTTCTCTCAAAGTTATGAACAAACATTCTTCCAGTGACGTTAACAGAACATTCTGCTCAAAGTTATCTGCTCTTGAATTATGTTCACATTCAAAAGTAACATTCCTGTAATGCTTGCAAAATGGTACAAATGGAACGCTGATATTCGCGTAACCAAGAAAAAATTAGGAAGAATAAATCATTTCTGAGTAATTTACTGGTATTGTGTGAATAACTTTGTGGATGTAATCCACAAAAAGTAACTGTAATCTTATTATGAGCATTTTAAAAGGTAATATAATCTAATTACGAGTACTTAATGTAGATTGCGTGTAATCAGTTACTACCCAGCACTGGTAATACATAAACTAACACTTATTGCAAGCAAACCGGAGAATGATCTGAGGTGTGTTTCTCTCTCAGGTAGCGTGTGCGATTGTGGCCGGTCTGCTTCATTTCTTCTTCTTGTCTGCGTTCTGCTGGATGCTGCTGGAGGGGGTTCAGCTCTACCGGATGGTTGTGCTGGTGTTTCACACCACATTAAAACATCTCTACATGTATTTGCTGGGATACGGAGTCCCTCTCGTCATCGTTGCCGTCTCTGCCATCGCCTTCCCAAAGGGATACGGCACCGATAGACAGTGAGTTTCTGCATCCAGTGCTGTTCAGCTGTAGAAGTGTGTCTGCGGTAGGCATTATATATCACTCTGATCGCTTTTACAGACCTGCCAACCTGTACGCGTAGCTGGTATGCATTTTGACCTCAAAGTACGCTGGTACGATTAGTCACTCTAAACTACGCAAAAACCTGGTGATACCTCTGTCTGCGTGCAGTATTCAAAACAAGCAACAGCAAAAGAATGAATAGTTCAACCAATCAGAGCCATTTTTTTTTGGTTTTGCTTTTAAATAATTACCGTGTGTTTTATTTCTCTCCAAGCTGGCTCTGTTTGTGTGTGCACTGAGATGAGGAAACATCTGAGAAAGCAACACACGCCAAGCATCTTGCCTTGTAATGACTTGTAATGCGGAGCGTTTCTAAACCTGTTGTCCAACAAAAGAGAACATTATAACATGCTTTTATAGACAAATGTGTAAATTAATTTCCTTCCTGATCTGATGTGGCTTCTTATCACATGATGACGCAGAAATACATTCTATATACTGTAATAAAGACTATGTCGATTAGCGATTGATTATAAATACACCGTATTGACCCGAATATCTGAAGACTAGAGTAAGATTGAACTTCTACCGTTAATAAGATGTTGGTAGTCTACTATTAGACGGATAGCCTAAATGTCCTAATTCAGATGGGCTACCTGTTTTTTTTTTTTGTTTTTTTTTAATGGTATATCAAAAAGGGTATTTTTTTTTTTTGGGATTGTTGGTACATTTTACCAGTTTTTACCATACTTATATTCGGGCCAATACGGTACTTAATTATTAAAATACCCGAGGTGGTTTTAAGAACACATATAGACATTGTCACAGTAGAGTGTTTATTGTCTTAATGTTCTTTTTGAATGCCATCTTTCAAAGCATTTCTGTCTTCTTTTGTTCAGTTACAGCAGTATATAACTGGATGATTTTGTCGTCCTGAGTTCTATTACTTCTGTAATGCATATGTGGATTTTCTGCACGAGGGCGCCCTCCGGCGTCCAGTATGAATGAAACAGACATTACATTTGTTTATAGCACTAAATAATGGGCAATCCATAAAAATATTACTTCTCTCAAAAGAGATTTGAAGTAGACATATGATAATAATATTTTCCTACAGTATACAGAAGTGTACTGGAGTTTGTTTTTTTTTAAAATTGCGTTTAAAAATAGCAAAAAAGAACTAAACCGAAAACTGGTTAAAAAAACCAAGGTATTTATTGAACTGTGGGCTAACTACTGTTTACTCTTAAATACTGCATAACAGGAATAAACTCACAAACTGAGTGCAGACGCTGAGTACCAACATATGAAAAGTATTTAACATTAAATATTTATATTTACACTGATGGTACTCAAAAAAAGTTTTTCCAAGGTTGGCAGGTCTGCTTTTATCAGTAGTTCATATTTAGGCTTCAGAAACACTCCTTTAGCTGCCTCATGGTCAAACATCAACTCGGGAGCTGTAAATCCAGTTGAATGATTCACAGTCTCTGACGCTGCACACTAATAAGGCCAGTGCCGTTTCAGTCACAATGTGTTATCATCATAACCTTCAGCGGCGGGTGACGTGTTTCTGTGCCTGCAGTGACTGTAAATGACAGAATAGGAGGAAGACACAACAGCAAGATCTTATCAAGATTCATCAGTTATAAAATAAGCCTTGCAGTCTGACTGCACTTTCTGTGGAAGAGCAAAGAAAGTCAGTAGGGCGTGACTGTATGAGGGTTTTTGTTATTATTAGATTATTATCATTAACTAAAACGAAATCGAAAACCTTAAAAAATATATTCTTGAAATACGGTTAACTGAAATATAAGAAGGTTAAACATTTAATTTCAGCTAGTAGCATTTTTCATTTTCATTTAAATGAACTAATACTAAAACCGAAATAAGTATTAATAAAAACTTATATAGAAATGCTAAAATTATAAAAAGTGTCAAATGGAGAATATTAAAAACTAATTCTAATTATTAATACAAACTGTATATTTAAAATAAAAAAGACAAAACAACAAATTTACTAAAACTTTAAAATGAAAATATAAAAATAAAAACTAATTTTAAAATATTAATTAAAAACTATAATAGTATATCAAGGACACCAAAATAGCACTGGATGGTACACGTTTGAATACAGTCAGAGGTAGGGATATGCCGGTATCAAATTCTCATGTTACGATTAATTACTCATGCTTTTATCGCGGTATACGGTATTATCACGGTATTGAAATAAATAAAAAAATAAAAAGTGCTGTCATAATACAGTATAACAGGTTTAATCACTTGTTTCTTATAACAAAAATAACTGAATATTTAAATGCAATAAAGCATTACAGAAAAATGTATAAAGTTAAACACAGATTAAAGTGCAAAAGATCTATAAAGACCAATAGGTATCACTTTACAATAAGACCTCATTAGTTAACCTTAGTTAATGCATTAACATTCACAATCAGCAATAGCTACATTTGCTAAAGAAGTTATTAATCTTTGTTGAAAAAATACAAGTTTTAGTTAATGTTAGCTCATTAAATAACACAGTTGCAAATTTCGATTTTAACAACGTGTTATTAAATATTGGAATACCTAAGATTAACGAATGTTTAGAAGAATTTTTCATTGGCAGTTTATGTTAACTAATGTTAACTAA